ATGGAGGGGATTATAATCATTGTAATGAAACAAGGTGTATGATTTGTTGAATATAAAACTGATGATCCTGTAAACTTTCACTCAATCCACAATAAAAACCTTAAAAAAAAAAAAAAATAGAAATTACAGTGTTGCTTATTTAATCGCACTGTTTTCATCCCACAAACTCTGGTTTCAACTCATTTTTGGATTATACATGGAAACATATGTGGCGTGGAGGCCTGGTGTGGCACTGTGAGCTAATGCATCAGGCTGTAAATTCATTGATCTACAAGGTCGGTGGTTCAAGGTCACCAGCTGCTCCTTGGAAACCCTGTACAGGGTCACTATGAGTCAGAATCAAACTGATGGCACTTAACAACAATAACATATGTGCCTTGACCTACCAGTGTTTACAGTGAGAATTTTTCTGAAAGGCAGTCATAAGTCTCCTCAATCCATAACAGATGACTTCTCCAGTGGGAGCAAGGTAGGGTTCTCCTCTGATTCCCCATCATCACTGTTAGCAAATTTAGAGATTCTAACTGTGCTACCATTTCTCTTTTTTGGAACAATTGTTAGTATAGTTGATGGGAGTTATCTTAATTTTGGATGTCAATACATTGAAAATGGTTATTTTTAAACCCATACATTTAACCTGGTGTGGCGCTGTAGTACAGACACTGGACTGCGAATCTCGAGATAGGCAGTTCAAACCCACCAGTTGCTCCTCAGAAACCCTATACAGGTTTACTAAGAGCCAAAACCAAGACCACACTTTACAACATTTAACCTTGGAAACAAAGTCTGTTAAAACATACGAAGTTGTTGTTGTTAAGTGCTGTTGAGTTGGTTCTGGCTCATAGTGACCCTGTGGAGTTTCTAAGGAATGGCTGGTGGATTTGAACTGCCAACCTTGCAGTTAGCAATCCATTGCTTATCCTAAAGAGCCACACCAAAACTTTTATACTTATGAAGATTAGGTATATATTTAAATAGCCAAACAATGCCTCTCTGAAGAAAGTTAGCAAAATATTGGGTTATTTCCTGAGAGAGTCTGTTTAAAGTTTTTTGTTTTTTGTTTTTTATTTAAATATAACCATAGTAACCAAAGGAAACACCTAACCTAAGTTTGTCAAAACTGTCCATTTAGAAATGATTTAGGAAAAAAAGAAGAAGCATTCCTAAGAGTCCCAGTGTGGTGCTGTAAGATAAGCACTGACTGCTAGTAGAAAGGTTGTGGTTCAAACCCATCAACCACTCCATGGAAACCCTACACATGGTCACTATGAGTTGTAACCGACTCAACTGCACTTAACAACAACACCCACCAATTTAGGATTATGGAATAGATGTTGTAGGTGGAACAAGCATAGAATTACAATATTCACGGTAGGTGTTGATATCTTTATGTGCTATCCAGTGAGTTCTGACTCAGCAATCCTCTACGTCACTAAGCAACAACAACAATAGGTTTTCTGAAAGTGTCTGGTCGGTTTGGACTGCCTACCTTGCAGTTACTAGTTTAGTGCTTATCCTACAGTGCCACACCAGGATCTACATAAAATAAAAATGCAAAGGTAGTATAGACAACTACATGAGCATAGTGTGTCATTTTGCCTGACTCAGGAAGTCCCCTTTCAAATGGATAGACAGTATCTGAGTCAGATAGCTCCCCATTGAGTTAACCATTACATTGAAGTCAATAGCCAAGGCAGAGACTCGCTGTCTCTGTTGATCTTTATACATCAATGAACTAACTTTATTCAGTATCTACTTACCACTTAGGCCTCTTAGTCTCAATGTCTTGTTGAATGAAAAAGCAACTAGAAAAATTATAAAAGTGTTCCTTATCACTAACCAAAACAAATGACCAATAAACAAACTATCTTTCTTTCCCTTCATTCCCTGCCCTTATCCTTAGGGTCTAGTGTGCTTAGTCTGTGGTAGGCTTTCTTCTCAAAACTTATGTCTTCTATGGCCTGTACCTTCATGGCTTTGAGAAATGTCCTGGACATATGTAAGTGAGTTGTGACATCTCACACTCTCATCCCAGCTAGGCCTCTTACAGTGTGAAAGAAGATGCTAAGGAGGAAAATAAAAGAATTGAGAGAACAGATTGCTACTAACAGACTTGTAGCAGGTTGATTGAGAAAAACACACTTGAACAAAGGGCCTTTTGGCTAAACCTCTTTGCTCAAACCTACACAGACTGGTGTGATATAAATAATGCAACTACCAAATGCTAGTCAAATTGATGATCTCCTTTAAGGATATGGAACAGATCTTACAGGCTTCCCTCAATCCAAACTATTTTTGACTTTAACAAGAACTTACATTTTAATGCTGGCTGCCTGTTTGCTGTCTAGTTGGTTCTGACTCATAATGATCCTCTATAGGGTTACCACAAGGTCAGCAGTTCTAAATTACCAGCTGTTCCGCAGGAGAAAGATGAGGCATTCTGCTCCCGTAAAGATTTACAGCCTCGAAAACCCTGTAGAGGGTCGCTATGAGTTGGAACTGACTCCACGTCACACAGCCAGCCAGCCAGCCATAGGGTTTCTGAGGCAATAAAACTCTACAGGGGGCAGAAAACCTCATCTTTTTCCCACAGAGCCACTGGTGGACTAGAACTGCTGACCTTGGGTTTAGCAGCCCCATTTGTAAAACACTATGCTACCAGATGTACACGTTGTAATGAATGAAATCACTTATTTATTCTTTTTCTTACATCTTCCAAACTGGGAGGCATTTTTATGGTTCCTCTACAGTGTAGTCCTGGCGTGGAGCCCTTAAATAAACACTAGACTGCTAACCACAAGACTGGTGATTCAAGTCAACCAGTTGCTCCTTGCAAACCCTATTCAGAGTTACTATGAGTTGGAACCATCTCAATAGTACTTAAGTTATGACTACTGTGATTCATTGACTTAAAAAATACTTACTTTCTACATACCACACATAGTTCCAGCCCAGAAGCCTTGGTGGTGCTGTTGGTTTGGCATTGAGCTGATAACTGAAAGGTCAGTGGTTCAAAACCATCAGTTACTCTATGGGAGAAAGATGAAGCTATCTGCTCCTGTAAAGGTTTAAAGTCTCAGAAACCCTATATAGGGTCACTATAAATTGGAACTGACTACATGACAGTGGACTTGGTTTAGGTTTGAAACATTGAGATATGAGTGTAAAAAAAAAAAAAAGTTTCATCTTTGAAGAACTTACAATATAGCTTCAGAGAAAAAAATAATATATGATGGACTATCTCTGCTTTGAAATACTAAGAAGGAAAATAAATGTGAATTGGAATAATGTAGAAAGCTGTCGTTGAGACTGGATCATAGTCTTATAAGAAGTGAGAGACTTGCGTGAATGTGATGATCTGTAGAAAGAGAATTTCAAGAAGAGAGAGTATGCAGAACAGAAAACTTCTTGGCTTATTGAAATAATAGCAAGATGATCCATATGGTATGTGCCAGTACCTAAATAGTGGAGAGTTCTAAGGTGAAAACTGTGGTTATATTCTAACTACAACATGAAAATAGGGACAGTTTGTGACAGGGTGATGACATGCCTTCATTTACAGTTGAAAAGCACCATATTAGACATGTTACAGGCTGAGAACATGTGGTTTTCTGATAAAGCAACTGTGGAAGAGAGAGAAGTGTCAGGGGTGACCCCAAGGTGTTTTGATCAGGGCAACAATAAGAATAACAATGCTTTGTTGAGAAGCAACATCAGAAGCAGATTTGAGAAAGAAAATTTTTAAACATTGGTTTTGAACACATTAAGCCTTTCAACTAAGATATTACATTCTGAAGTTCAAAGAAAAGGGTATGGCTGGGATATAAATTGGGGTATTATTTGCATATAAATTTGGTATAGATCCATAAGAGAAAAATTGATCCCTGAGGTACTCCAACATCTATAGATTACACCAATGAGAATAACCTTATCCGTGAGACTGGGAATGAAGAGCCAGTGAGGGAGGAGGAAACCCTCCAAGGAAAGTGGGAAATCAAAACTGCAAGATTTTCAAGGTAGGAGTAATCAACTGTTTCAAGTGCTTCTGAGCAGTTTATTAAATTGGGGTCTGAGAATTGAACCTTGGATTTAGCAATATGGGTTTTTTCTGACCCTGAGAAGAGGTTTCTCTGTTATGGTAATAAAGCATGATTAAAGTCCGTTTAAGAAATAGTGGGGAGAAAGTAGAGACAATTAATCTTGACAGTGTCTTGAAGCATTTTTGTGATGAATTTGAGTAGAATGAGATGAGATGACAGTGAGATATGGCAAGGAAAAGAATGATGCTGGTTGTGTATGGGGATAGTTACAGGAGCATTCTCACTTGGGAACCCCTCTCAATTTCAGTCTTTTAAAGTCTGTATTCATGGGTTTGTCATAGTCCCCAGAGTGATCTCTTCTTAAATCCTGCCTGAAGTAGGTTATCCTAGTCACTAGAAATTATGCTGAGAGCCTGTTGAAGCAGGTTGCTGTGGTAGGCAAAATAATGAGCCATAAATCTGTCCACTACTATCTTACACGGCAAAAAGGACTTTCTTTGTAGGAGTGATTCAATTAAGGATCTTGAGAAGAGGAAATTGTGTCGGAGTCCTGATATGGTGCTGTAAGATTAACACAGGACTGCTAGCGACAAGGTCAGCAGTTCAAACCTACCTGTAGCATCGCAGAAACCCTAGACAGGTTCTCTGTGAATCAGAACTGATCCCATGGCACTTAAAAGCTACAGTGTTCAGGCGGGTTAAGGTAATAACGAGGGTTCTTAAAAGCAGAAATGGAGATGGAGAAGAGTCAGTCAGAGGAAGAAGAGACTATGAAAGGAAGGCACAGAGAGATTAGACATTGCTGGGTTTGAAGTGAGTCTGAGAGAGGAATATGGGCAACTTCTTCAAGCTGGAAAAGTCTAGAAACACATTTTTTCCCCTAGATTTTCAAAAGCAATGCAGCCCTACCAAAACTTGATTTTAGTTCAGTGAAGATTGAATTTCTATCATATGTAACTAAAAGATAGTACATTTGCATTGTTTAAATCACTATGTTTGTGTTAATTTGTTGCATGCAGCATCAATAAAAAACTTAATGTAGCTTAGTTTTGGGGGGTTCACACTTCAATTTTTCATATGTAAACTTCTACATAAACCCTGGTTTTTAATATTATGCCCATCTCCTGTATTGTATATTTCCTAGTCCAAAGCACTAAACTACGAACCACGTGGTAGTTCAAAGTCACCAACTGCTTATGAATAGTAACTACTGTGAACATTTTTGTTTAGATTTTGGGGTACATATTTCTGCATATTTTGTTTATGCAAATAAAAGTGGAATTGTTGGGTTACATCACATGTATATGTTTAGCTTAATTAGATGCTGTCCAAAGTTTTCTAAAGCAATGCATGATTCAATGAGCAAAATAAAAGTGGGAGTTCCTCCACATCTTTTTCAACCCTTTTTTTCAGGTTTTTAAAGTCATCTAGCAGATAGATAGTAATATCATACTTTGTTTTTAATTTGAATCTTCATTAAATCTTCATCAATCCTTATCTCACCATCTCCAATACTTATCTCAAAACCCAACAGAATAGTTCCAATAATGGCAATGTGTCCATCTGTATTAAATGTACAGTTGCTGCTTTAAAATACTTGCTTATTGTCCTTTGGTTTATAGCAACAAACTCCTTACTGAAAAGCAAAAAGTACCTGAAACACTAGCATATTAAATTATCTTTCACATTATTTTACCATGACCTTAAATTAGTTGGGCAAAGATTAGAAATGTTTTGGTGGAATGAGATGGAAATCTGGAAAATTTTCCAAGAGTGGTTCGGGGATTGTGGAGACACAGGCTACTGTCATATAATAGATTGATTCAGAGAAGCAGAGGCTTCTAGATTTGATGCATTGAAAATCATTTTTATTCAGTGCTGGGCCTCAGTAATACTGTGGGTATCTTTAGATTTAAAGTTCTTCATGAACAATTGTCTCAGATGGACTCTCTTGCTGTGCTGCATAAGCATTTCTGTACTGAGTTACTGCTCAAGAGAGGCTGGCCAGCTGAAGATTCGATTTTTATTTTCTGGTTGTTCTACTTTCTGTATTTTATTTTAATTTCCATCCTTGTTGTTAAGCGCCATTGAGTAGTTTTGAACTCATAGCGACCCTATATAGGGTTTTCAGGGAGCGGCTAGTGGGTTTAAATGGCTAACCTTGTAGTTAGAAGGTCAATGCTTATCCTACACAGTGCCACATCAACACTCCAATTATCATTGAGGGATAAGTAATTGCAATATAATATAACTATTTTCAACTTACTTCCCATGGTTTTAGGTAAATAACTTTTGTTATAATCCTGTATTACAGATGTGTGAAGACTGCTGAACCTGAAGGTGGAACTGTAGATAGTATGCTGTGCAACCAGGAACAAAGTCCCCCAGAAACTCAAACCTGTTTTCTTCTCTGCCCCAATGAATGTGTCATGTCTAACTGGGGCCCATGGAGTGAATGCCCACAGGTAAGTTTTCTTCCCTTGTCAATGCCCCGATATACTAGTACTGCCTTTGCTGTTCTCTAGATGCTCACAGTACTCTCCAAAGCTTTTTGTTGTTGTTGTTAGCACAGGAAAATAACTTTTCCTGAGGAAACAAAAATAAGATTTTAACAAGAGATGCTGAACAATTTAAAGTGCCAGAATTTCTTATTATCATTGTCATAGGAACAGGAAAAAATGAGCCTGTAATAATCACACTGCAGGATTTGAGTGCATGCCCATTGTTAAAAGGGTCTTCTTTAGTACCAAGTTGTTTTTTATTGTAATCTCATGGTCCTATCCCATTTTTACTCATTTATGCCCTATAACCAATTATAGAACCAATTATACTTTAGTAGTTCAACTCCAATACGTAACTTAGCTTTTGTTAGTGTTGCTCTGTCTTGCCCTTTGTTGTTTTTCTGAAGATGAAGTATTCTATCATCATGTTTCTACCTCTTCCAAAACCGACAAAAACCACCTTCTAAGTCACATTTGTTTGCTTTTCTTTTCCTTTAAAAAAAAAACAATGAGAGTTTGGAACAACGAATGTTCTTCAAGTAGCATAGCTCAATTTCATATACTTTACTAAAGATAAATCCTGTATTTTTTTCATTTCTCTTTCTGCCAAATACTTAAAAAATGAAAATAGGAAAAAGTAGCATATTTTATGTCCAAGTATTAAGAAGGTAAAAATTAGATAGAATACTTTGAATCCAACTTTATGCTCATCAGCTCTGAGGAAAACAAACTAACCTGCTGCCATGGATTCTGACTGAAGGAATTCCTCTGTGCTCCATATGGCTTACTTGGCGGTTCTCTTTATGGGCACAGACCAGCAGGCCTTTCTGATGCCTACAGTGTGGCACTGCTGAATGGGTTCCCAACTCCACCTTTTATGTTGGTTGCTGTTGTTGTTAGTGGTAGTAGTAATGGTGTCAGTTCTGACTCATAGTGAACCCTAATAGATTTTCTGAGGCTCTGGTAGCGTAGTGGTTATGAATCGGGCTGCGAACCTTAAGGTTAGCAGTTTGAAACTACTAGCTGTTCTGCAGACAAAAGATGAGGCTTTCTGCTCCCATAAAGATTTATAGCCTTGGAAATGCTTTACAGGGTCACTATGAGTCGGAACTGACTCCACAGCACATAACCACCACCACCACATAAATCTTTATGGCAGTAAAAAGCCTCATCTTTCTCCCATGGAACACTTGGTAGTTTTGAACTACTGACCTTGAGGTTAGAAGTCCAACTCATAACCACTACACTACCAGAGCTCCTTCTGTTGTTCTTAAGTGTTTGTTATCCAAATCAGTTTTTACTCAAAGCGACCCACTGTATGGTTTCCAGAAGATAGCTAGTGGGTTTGAAATGTATACCTTCCAGTTTGCAGTCCAGTGCTGATCCTACAGCACCACACCAGTAATGCATTCTGTCCTATGTTGTTATTAAGTGCCTTGGAGTTGGTTCCAACTCCTAGCAACCTTGTATAGGGTTTCCAAGGAGTGGCTGGTAAGTTTAAACCATTGACTTTGTGGTTCAAAACAACCTTTATGGTAGAGTGGTGGAGTGTAAACTATTTGTGCTACCCAGGGACCTCATATTATGCTGTCTTTCTTAAATCTTTATATGGAAATGAAAAGTATGTTTGAAATGAATTAATATTTTTAGTGTTTGATAATTGATTCCTTATTAGTTATTGTAATCTATATTTGATATTTTCATAATCCCTTAGAGCGCATTTCCTCTGCTATTGTTTTGTTGTTGTTGTTTGTTTATTATGTGTTGAGTTTTTCTTTGGTGGTTAACATAATGTTGTCAATTCAGTTCTCACTCATAGCGACCCTGTTTAGGGTTTCTAAGGAACAGCTGGTGGGTTTGAACTAACAACCTTGTAATTCTCAGTTCATTGCTGATCATACAGTAGTACCACACCGATGATAATTAAGATGAAGAGGTACCCAAAAGGATACTTTGTTGGAGTGGAATGCTTTTTCTACTGTGTTATTTATTTTGCATGAGCCTCAATATAAGAAAAAAATAATACATATTGAATACTTATTTTGTGCCAGGCATATGCAAGAATTATTCTATTTAGTTGTTGTTGTTGTTGTTAGGTGCCTTCGAGTCTATTTAGCAGTTGCACTAAATCTACTTCATAAGTATGATTATTAGTCCCATTGAACATATAAGGAAACTTATGTTTATAATGAGTAAATAGTTTGCATAAAGTTCCACACTTAATAAGTAGTGATTGTTGTTGTTAAGTGCCGTCGAGTTGGTTCTGACTCATAATGACTCTGTATAGGGTTTCTGAGGAACTGCTGGTGAATTTGAACAGTGGAGCTGAGTAAAATACCATATTCTGTCAGATGAAAACAAAGCCTTTGCTCTTAAATATTTATCTTATTTCTTAGAATTGGAGCTCCTCTTTCTTTAAAATGGGATATTTATTTTTTAAACTTCACAAGTTGTTTTAGCTATATAGTTTATTACTTCATGACAGTATATTCACACTTAAAAACAAAAACAATTATTTATTGTGAATTGGGTGAAGGTTTACAGAGCATAGCAATTTTCCATTCAACAATTCATACACATTTTGGTTCATGCATTGATTGCAATCCCCAAAATGTAGTATCACTTATCCCATTTCTACCTTGTGCTTCTCATTTCCATTCATCTTTCTTCCCTAACCCTTCCTGCCTTCTGAACTTTGTCTTTGGGCAAATGCTGCCCTTTTGATATCAAACAGTTAATCGTTCTAAAGAGTTGATTGGTCTAGTGTTATTGTTCACATTATAGACCTGAAAATTGAGCCATGGAGGTGATTTCATTTTCATACATGAAGAATAACTAAGAATTACATAGTCTCGGGAGTTCTACTAGTCTCTATTCAACCAATAATCCTGGTGTTTTGTATGATTAATAATTTTGCTTCACATTTTTCTCCAACTTTATCCATAACCTTCTAATGTGATCTAGTTTGAAGAAGCTGTTAGCATTAGCTAGGTACCCCTAGTTTTTCTAGTTTCAAGGTCCTGGGGGCTAAGGTTTGCATGGTATGTTAGTTATTTGGACTAATTGTATCATTGCATCTTTCATGTTCTTCACCCTTTTTGCTTTACACAGAGAAAGATTGATAGAAGAGACCCTTGGTAGCCGCTCACTAGTTTTTAAGATCCCAGTTATTACTCTAGAATATAGAGTATATTTTTTGTGTGTGGACTATTCTGTGCTGGTTGATTCAATTTCCCATAACACTATGTTTCAGAGTCCTCAGACCTAGTAACTCATTCCCTTAAGGTGTTTGGTTAAGGCTAATAAGTCTTTATAACTTTGCCCCCTTTTATTGTTATTGTTGTAAAGTGACTTTTAGTTAGTTCTGTCTCATAGTTATGCTGTATAGGGTTTCTGCCACTACTCGTTTGTCAGTTTGTCATGGCCTTGTGTTTTGCTGTGATGTTAGAAGCTATGCTATCAGGATTTTAAATAGCAGCAGAGTCATCCAGGTTTTATTTGAGCTTCCAGACTAAGACAGACTAGGAAGAAGGAAAGGCAGATAATTCTGAATGGTCAGCCACTAAATGTTTATGAACAGCAGTAGAACTTTGTGAGATATAGTGCCAGAAGATAAGACTCTCGGGTTGGAAGCCACTCAGAGTACAAGTGGGGAAGACCTACCTCCTCAAAGTAGAGTTGACCTTAATGATGTGGATGGTGTTAAGCTAATGGGACCTTCATTTGCTGATGCGGCACAACTCAAAATGAGAAGAACCAGTTGCAAATATTCATTAATAATCAGAACATAGAGTGTACAAGTATGCATCAAGGAAAATTGGAAGTCATCAAAAATTAAATGGAATGTGTAAAGATTGATATCCTAGGCATTAGTGAGATGAAATAGACTGGTATTGGCCCTTTTGAATCTAACAATCATATGGTTTACAAGCGTGGAATGACAAATTGAAGGGAAATGTGTCATATTGATCATCAAGAAGAACATTTTAACATCTATCTTGAAGTATAATGTCTGTGATATGCATCCATATGCCTATAAGAGGATCAGTTAACATCCATATACCTACAAGAAGACCAGTTAATAATACCACAATGATTCAAATTTATGCAACAACCTCTAGAGCAAGTGATGATGAAATTGAATTCTTCAGTTTGGAACTGATCAAACTTGTAATCAAGATGCACTGATGATTACTGGTAACTGGAATGCATAAGTTGGAAACAAAGAGGAAGGATCCATAGTTGGAAAATAAGGCCTTGGTGATGGAAATGATGGTGGAGATCACATAATACGACTTTTGCAAGACCAATGATTTATTCATTGCAAATAGTATTTTTCAGCAACATTAAAGCACATGGACCCAACCAAATGCAATATACAGATATAAAATTGATTATATTCTACCTGATTTTAGAGACCATCTCAAAAACATAGCTGATGCATCAGACCCTAATGGCCAAAGACCAGAAGAATTGTGGGATGACATCAAGGACATCATTTATGGAGAAAGTAATAGGTCATTAGAAAAAGAGGAGAAAAAGAAAAGACCAAAGTGAATGTTAGAAATGACTCTGAAACTTGTTCTTGAGCACTGAGAAGTTAAAGCAACAGGAAGAAATGAAGTAAAATAGCTGAACAAACATTTTGAAAGGTAACAAGAGAAGCCAAATCAAATATTATAATAAAATGTGGAAAGACCTGGAGTTAGAAATTGGAAGAATATACTCAGCATTTCTCTAACTGAACAAACTGAAGAAAAATTCAAGCAACATTATAGTATTCTATGTACAAATTATTGAGTAACACTGGAAATGTCAAAAGAAGGTGGAAGGGATACACAGTGTCACCGTACCAAAAATAATTGGTCAAAGATTAGTCATTTCAAGAGGTACCATATGGTCAAAAATTGATGTCATTGAAAGAACTCCAAGCTTCACTGAAAGCATTGGCAAAAAAGCAAGGC